TTAAATAAACAAAATATTTTTCGTTTATAAATGAAAGATTCGGTTTAAAACCCCCAAAACTACAATTAAATTTTTGGTTGATATTCAAAAGTGTGTTTATCATTATTAGAAAATTGACAAAATTGAAAAACAGTTAAACAAGACTGATTATATTTAAATTTATAAAAACTAGATAATTATATTTTAATTCGAAAAAACATGAAGATAAAATCACCACTGAATAATTTTGTATATTATTATATTATCAAATTAATAATCTCTTCATAAAAATGTTTAATGAAAACATATAATAATAAATTCTTTATCTATTCGAATGTTGTAAATAACATATAAACCATATTTATTAACAATAAAAGATTAAAGTCATTTGATTAATTAAGTTTGACAACGTTAATTGATGATTTTCATATTAAAATAAAGAACTTAATATTTCAAAATTGTATTGTTTATTATTATTTTTCATTGAAAACTGCTTTAAAATAAAAGATAAACCCATTTTAATTATACAAATTACTTTTCACTAAAAATAACAACAAAAATACAACAAATTATAATTGGCGCAATTTATTAAAAATTTGATTCTCTTATTTATGAGTTCTTCGATTCTCTCAATGTCACAAATTCCTTTAGAAGACATAAAATTAATCACGACTTCGTTTTGAAGTAATTTGTTATTCTTTGTTATACCATTTTTAGCTATATTATCTAATATGATTAAATCCACACAAACGCTCCACCCCTCCAATTTTACAAATTCGACATTTTTTGCTTTTAAAAATTTTGTTTCAAAAAAAGTTCTTCTGTTATTTCGAGTTTTTTCGACAAACACAATTTCATCGAAAAAATCGATTCTCTCATTTTCTAACAAACTGTTTTGTGTGTTGTAAACGAAAGTCATAAAAACGTCGACAACTTCGATTTGAAGCCTTTCCACATGTATTAAAAAGTCTTTCGAAAAGTCCCATTTGGACACATCTCGTCCAACTACTCTCACATTTTGAAGAATTTTTCTCACATACATTTCAGTCATTTTATTCGAAAGAATCGGATGGATTTTCTTTAAAAGTGTTTTAATGATTTGTTCGGCATTTAAATTAATTAACTCAAAATGAGTACAATCGTTATCTTCAGTAATTTCATCGTCTTCTGTGACGTCCAATAAAATGTCTTCAATTTCTTTCTTCTTCTTCTCTTCGTGTCTGGTGACCATTTTCGGTTTTGTTGTTTTAAAATATTTAACTTGGCGTTTCTCACTTTGTTCACGTTTGATTAGTCTTTTTCGGTATTTGCGGTGCTCCTCTGTATTTTCTTCTTTGCAAAATTTTTCAAATTTTGATAATTTTCTTTCTTTTAATTTGGGTCGATCAATTTGCTTTAAAATTTCTATTTTCGGACTTTTTAAAGGTGGAAGTGGTGAACTTTGCACTTGAAAATTGGAAGTATTTTGTGACAAACAAAACGAAGAAGAAAGTGAACAGAGATGGTCTATTGTGACTATTTCCATTTAAGTAAAGAGATTAAAAAAGTGCTATTCTATTCTTAAATTATGTTTCTAAAATTCGATTATAAGTTATCTGGAAATAATTTAAGATTTGTATATGTTTGAAATTTTGAGAGAAGAAGAAGTTGTTAATAGGAGTTAAAATACTATATATTCGGGAGGGGTTTTGACTTTTTTGTATTTTAATTTGTTCACAAAAATGTGGAAATAAATAGTAGAAAGTTTTAATTTAATGATAATATTTAATTAAATATTAATTAATAAAATATAGATTAATAAATTGGTTTGTATTTTATTATTTATATTCATTTTGTGTTGTTTACATTTAATGTTTATATAAATTGTGTATATTTTAATGTATATAAAAATAAGACATATGTATTTCAATTTGTATCTCAAAAATTATTATTTGTTTAAAATTTGAATCAATTTTTCAAAATCAATACATATCATAGATAGAATTTTACTATTTGTTATTATTTAATTACATAAGTATTCGATTATATTCATTTTATTTTTAATTGTTTTTTATCTCCTATGTTGAAATTTGATACATAATAATTTGTATAAACAACACCCTTACATAATGTTTATTTTTATAATTAAAGTTCATTCGATATAAAGTTCAAAACAAGAACAATAATATTTAGCATCTTCTTCAAATACTTTTTATCACAAAAAGAATAAACGAGTGAGTAAACAATAACACCATTTTAGCATTTTAATGATTATTTCAATTTAACAATAAGATATGAAAAAATAACAACACTTAATAATCAAGAAATATTATTATTAATTAATAATTTGTTTTATACCCAAATTAAATAGTTTACCAAATTTATGATTACTTTATTTCCAATAACAGTGATATTTGTATGCTGTTTCACAATTCGAAGCGACATTCTAAACAATATTAAATTACAAAATATTTTGGTGTTTAATAACATAAAATTTAATGTAAGTCCAACATATAATTTTTAATTTGAAAGGATTTGAAATTATTTATCATCACAAACACGTTAAAAATATGTGACATATAATACTAAAAGATCAATGAGACAATTATGACAGATTTTTGTACCCAATCCCAGTTTTAAATGATTGAATTGTTTTTCTTACAATAATCTTTATATGAATGTGAAAATATGCTATATTTCACATATTATTGTCAAACAAAATTAATATTGGTAACTAAGCTTTTATTACTTAGTTACCAAAATTAATCAAGTAACTATACCTGAGTTGTCTCTTCAAATAACAGTTTAAAATTTCTTAATTATTTTAAATAGTTGTTAACAGTAATATTAAAACTATTATAATTTCAATTTTGTATTTGATTCCATAAATAGGAAAGAATGTTATTTTATCATAAAATGTATTGGAATTGACCTTCGTTATTAATTATAAATAGTTAATACAATTATTTTATCTAATACATTCATATATAATTTTTCAAAAAAAAAGGTTTTTGTAATATATATTTATAGTTTTGTTATTATTTAATTAATAAATTAAAAATACTTTATACAAATTGAATTGTTTTTTTTCAAATAATAAAGAAACTGTCTTTTGAAAGACTTCAAATGTATTAATGACAATAATATTATTAATTATATTTATAATAAAAATATTTTTACAAATTGGAAACCAGTTAACTTCGTTGTGTCGAATTTCTAAACTATTTGTCATAAGCTGAAATTTTGAAAAGAGAAAAATATATACAAATTATTGTCGATTTTCATTGTAAAAAAACTCTATAAAACTCAAAAGTTGATTATTGAACTTTACAAATATGTCTGTAGATGTTTTTTGGGACAGATATTCATTGGTCTTAAACCCCCCATTTTAACATTTTATTTATTTATGTTTATTTAAAATATAAATAGTTTTACTCTATTAATAAACTGGATATAAAAACATATTCAATATAACTTTTAATATCAAATCGAGAATTCTAATGTACAATGTTCTCTTCAACATTTTTGTACTACTTATAACTTCAACAAACTCAGCAGTGTTCACATGGAGCAGTGGAAGTGGATATTTTGACTCTTCAACACATTGGAGTCCACAAGGAATACCCGACAGTGGAGATACAGCAGTGATATGTCCAACAACTGCTTCAGAAATTATTTTACGGACATCAACACAATCAACAATACTTTTTGGTGGTGAGACTTGTTCTGAAAGTGTATTGAAGATTACTTCTAATGATGTGACAATAAACAGTTTACAAGTTTTGATGAAAGGTTCAGTACTATTGTCTTCCAATACTTTAAACACCAGTTTACTCGCAATCAATGGCAAATTTGAGTCTGAAATAGCTACCTTGATCAACACCAATTCATTAGAAGTCAAACAAAATGGAGTTGTGAATGGAAAAATGAATTTAAATGTTACTTCCACTACATTAATTACAGGGAGTGTTAATATTACAACACTCACTACAAACTCTCTGACTTTAAACTCAATTACTATGAACGCAAAAAGTGTGACTTCCAACAATATCAATGGTATCGGAGTGATAAACGGAAAGGTCTATTTAGATGGAGAAGTCACGTTAAGTAATACCATTGAAGTGAAAGGAGAAGTTGAAATGAATAACGTGAATTTGAAAAACTTCTTTTCAAAAGTATCTGGACTGATAGCTATTGATTCAAGTATAACATCACCTCAAAGTAGTGTAATCAGTGGTGGCGATATTTATTTGGAAAGCAGTACACTTGAATTATTTAGTCTTGAAAACATTCAAAATTTTGATGTTATTGGAATTTCAAAACTTGTAACGGTGAAGGGAAGTTCAAATACACAGATTCGTATTGCAAGAACAGCAGAACTTTTAATAGACAAGGGACAAGGGGAGTTTAACACACAGAGTGGAAAAGTCTGTATAAAAGAGGGAGCTGTAAATGGCGTTTTTAACAGTGAGTTGACAATAGAGAAGAATGTCACGTTGAATGGAAATGTTATTGGAAATGTTGAGTGTGTCAATGGTGGAGAATTTTTGAAATCAAATGTCGTTTTTAATGAGATAAAGGAATTCACATGTAAAGCGACAATATCAATTTTAACGTTTAAACAAGACGTTGAAATATTAAATGGAAAAATCACAAATTGCTCTTTGATTGTTGAAAAGAGTGCGAATTATATTCACAATAGTGAGAGTACCTTTGTAACTATTCATAATAATATATTTACTATTGAAGACGTCAAATCAAATCTATATTATGATGGAGTTGCTCTTGTTGTTAAACAGAATGTGGTTGCAAGCAAATTGGAACAGAAAAGTGGAGTATTAATAGTTAAAGGAAATGAAAATAATTTGATGGCATTTGATGTGGGCGAAATTTCAATACAAAATGCAAATTTCACAAATGTGAAAATGGAAAAAACAAAGAACATTTTTGTTGAAACCGGGTTTGATGTTCTTTGCGAAAATTGTGTTGTTGATGGAACACAATTTGATGGAAGTCCAAATCGATTGGAAGGAAGAAATTCACTTTTTAAAAATTGCAAAATAAACTCTGAAATCCATTTCATTGATTCTATCGTCGAGGGTTCTACTTGTAAGAACGTGTTTTCTGAAGCAACAAACAATTTCACGAATTCAAAGTTTTCCAAAATTACCGTTAATGAAAGTTCTGAGTTGTTATTTATCGACAGTTTTGTGATCGTACAGATGGTAAATAATGGTAAAGTTATAAATAGATCACCAACTGTTGCGTTGATAAACAATTTAAATGGGTTGTTCGTTTCTGAAATAGATGAATGTTATATCCAATTTACAAACTATGGAACAATGAATTTTATTGAAAAAACTCAAAATATCATTTTGAATGCAATTTCTTTTAATTATGGCATTATTAGTGGTTTTGGTAAATTTACCATTGAGGCTTATCAATTTACGAATGGTGGTTATTTAAAATCTGGAACAAAATTTATTGATTCAGCAGTTACAATTTACAAGAATTCGACATTTGAAGACCAAACAATCACATTTGAAAGGTGTTCATTTACATTTCCGAATGGTTCTCCGCTTTTCAACGAAGTGATATTAACAGTGTCTGCTGAATCGCAGACCCCATTACTTGCCACGGGATTGCAATTAAAGAAATTACAAAACAGGAACAAAGTATTTAAATTTTTAACGAATGATCTTGAAATCAGTGATTCCACTTTAAATGAACAAAAATTGGAATTGGAAGGAATTCCCGTTGTTATTCAGAATTCAGTGATTCCCACTATATCTTTGACCAATTGTACCGTATCACTCTCTGCGACTGTTTTTACAACATTGGAAACAAATTACTGTGATATTTCTGATGATATTTCGACACAACTTTTGAAGTCTCAAAACTCGAATTTTCAAAAGGTAGAATCCAAGACCTTAGAGGTTTCCAATGTCACCATTGCTTATTTGGAAGTTTCTGAAAGTACTTCACTTCATAATGTAGCTCCTGATACCGTTTCTGCCCCACTTTACTCGATTCTCAGTGGAATCAATTTACAGAGTGCACTGACAGTCAATGGATTTTTTCACTTCAAAAATTTGAATTTGGAATCAAATGAAGCACACAAAGTTGAGTTGGTATCAAATGTTGTGCCTTTTATAATAGAAGATACCACAATAATATCCGTCACACTACCTTCTGTGATAACAAGAGGAAATGTAGTGCTCACAGACATCACAGCAAATTCGGTGATAAACATTGGGAACCTCTCGATTTCATCCAAAGAAAAGACGATGATAGAATCCCTTCGATTGTTAGCAAATAGTTCATTAGTGTCACAAAAGCAGTTTGAAATATCGCACTTTTATGTTGGAGTGAATGTACAAACGGACATCCAAGAATTGACAATTTCAAAGGAATTGAGTTTTGATGGAGATCTGCACTTTTCCACAGTTGTACTGTTGGAGAACTGTGTTATTACATGTCCAAAGACATCTAAAATATACACCGAGACGATTGTTTCCTTCAAATCGAATGTATTTAAAATCCCTGTGTTTGTGAAGAAGCATTGTGCTGAGTTGAATATCTCAGGAAGTGGTGTGTTAGTGACTGAAGAGAGTTTTAAAGGGAGTTGTATCGATTCACATATTGAGTATATGCAGAACTATGGAGAATATGTCGGAGGTGATGGTTTACAAATGGTCGAGAATTATGGGATGTTTGTATTGCAAGATGAGACGTTTCAAAGGGCAATAGACAATCACGGCATACTGCAAATGAACAACGGACGCATAGATTCTGAGTCTAGAGTGCATTTGTTTCCATATTCGATAGTTCGAGGGAATGGATACATAAGAGAAATGGATGTGCAAACGGAAGATACAAGAAAGTCGATGAAGACTGATATAGAACTTAATTATGACAACCTTGTTAATCATTTAGAAGGGTATTCACTTGAAAGGACGACACAGAATTATAACAATGGGGGCGATGAAACGTTGGATATAAAAAGTACAATAAAAGAGGAAGCACTACCAATACTTGATATAGACGGACAGCTGAGAGTGTCATTGTGTCTCTCTAACATGTTAATAGTGAAGATCAAGATTTTTGAAGATTTGAATGACCTTCTGATCTTCGACGAATTTTACGACTATATGATGAACTTTGACATTACAATAACAGACTTTGCGATCTATGACGCGAAGAACTACACTGTCTTTGAATTTGGGAGAGGAGACTTTGTACCACGATTATCAGTCGATTTTGTGAATATAGAAAATTACTTAGAAACTCCTTGGAGGTATGGACAGACAGACAACTCACTGTATGTTGAGTTTAACGGCTGTGAATTTGTCTATAACACAGAGACGAAGAAGTGCAAGGAGTGTGAAGCTGGGGAGATATTTAACAATGTGACGCACTTGTGTGACGGGTGTGAATTGGGGATGATATACACCACTGCTGGAATATGTATACCATGTCCCGAGGGGACATATTCAAGTAACAATTTGTGTGTGAAATGTCCAGCTGACGAAGTTTCTCCAGTTCAAAGTTCGTTCTGTACCAAATGTGAGGATGGGTCGTTACCGAATGAGAACAACTCGAAGTGTGAGTATTGTCCTGTGGGTACACGACTTGAAAAGAACTCTGAGTTCACAAAGTGTTTACCATGTTCAGCAGGTACATATCGAGATGAGAATTTGATCACAATGAATGACTGCACAGAGTGTCCTATAGGAACATATTCTTCACATAATGGTGCGTTTGAATGTAGCAAATGTCCACTTGGATTTTATAGTGATGCTGTTGGAAGTAAAACGTGTAAAAAGTGTGAAGACGGGTATTACACAATTAACACAGGAAGTGTAACATGTGAAAGATGCGAAGATGGACATTATTCGTCACCGAATGGGGGAGAGTGCTTGACTTGTCCCTCTGGCTTTGAGAGAGGCGAGTTTGGGTGCATCTGGTGTAAAGCTGGGTTCTATAAGGGAGGGGATGGAATTAAGTGTGTAGAGTGTCCAGAAGGGTTTTACCAAGAGAAACAAGGAATGGCTTATTGTAATGAATGTGATGGGAAGAAACAAGTTAATTTGAATAAAACGAAGTGTGAGAATCGTCCTAGTGAACCGGATACAGTGGCTATGACGATTACATACTCGTTGTTTCCTTTAATTGTTGCGTTGTGTTGTGGACTTGGATGTGGAGCGGCTTGGATGGATGACAGAAAAGAAAGAAAGAAGAAAAAGATGATGGCGATAGCGGAGGTACAAAAGGAAGAAGAACACAAGTTGATTGAAAGCGAAGAACATGAGGAAGAACAAAATATTCAAGAAGAGAAAAAAAATGAAGAAATTAAAAAGAAGATGGAAGAGAAAAATGTTAATATGAATGAAAAGGAAAATGGCATTACAAAAGAAGAAATAGAAATGGAGGAAATCGAACAGGAAGAATCATTTGATATCGAAGATATTGAACAAATGATAGAAAGTATTAAAAACAAACCACAAAAGAACGAAGAAGATAGAAAAGAAGAGGATGTTAAAGAAAGTAGTCAAAACGACATGCAAAATATAAACAATGAACTAAAGGAACAAGTGCATTAAAGTGAAATGTTTTTATCTTTTTTTATGTTGTTTTGTATTTAAAACAATTGAATTTTTAAATCAAAAATAATTACTTTAAAAACAGTAAAATTTTTTTAATTCATTTAAAAATTAAGTGATTTTATTACTATTTTTGGTTTATACCCTTTTTAAATAAATTACATTAATTCAATTGTTTGAAATAAAAGGTCAACACGCAAAACAAAAAGTGGTACAATAATAGTATATAATTAGAAATACAATATAATGATCCTCCGATCTTCACTCTGATAATCTCATCTTTGTAAAGTCAACACAATTACATTTTCTTCGTCTTTGTTTGATCTCATTGATTATGTGATGACATTCTTTTCTTTCTTCGAAGAACATTTTATCGGTCATTGACACATGAACTCCTTCACATCTGTCAGGACACAAAGTTCTTATTGTTGAAAACCCTCCTTCAAGTACATATATTTCAGGGTAATTCACATTTATTCCACCAAACGGCCCAGAGCGTTTTAATTGCTCTGCCAATGCCGGCGCCCTCTTTTCTGAAAATTCACAGTAGAAAACTAAAGCCGCGGAAGTAACCTTTGGTCTGTTTTGAGGAAACAATTTTTCGAGCAAATTTTGGTTCCAGACATTCACTGCGTTTTTGATCTTGCCAGCTCTAAATTCATAAGGAAATCTGCAGTCCACTGGAATTAGATCTTTCTTCTCGAGTATCATGTTTTCAAATTCCACGACATTGATTTTTTTCACTTCCAAAGAAGTATTATCTTCAGTAGGAGTTAAGTCTCCTCGAGGCGACAAACATGGAGACCGATTTAAAATACTTCTTGCACGATCGATTGAATCCGAGTCATCTTGAAATTCTGGAGATCTTGAGCAAGAGAACGAAGTATTAAGATATAAAGGAGATGGGGATCGTTCTATTCTGACAGAAGACCTTGTGACAGAAGATGGTGAATTTGAACGTGAAGTTTCTAAAGAAGAACACACAGAAATACGAGAGTTGGATCGGATACGGCTCAATTTCATGGATGAATAATAAAGTTCAGAACAAAAACTTCATGATAAAACGGGTCTTATTTTTTAACTGATATTATTATAGTAGAAACCAGTTTGAAATTTTTGAAAAAGTAATTATTTTTGTTTTTGAGACGTTTTGTTCAAGTTTAAGAACAAATTTCTAATAAAAACACAATAAAATGGATACTTCATTCAGAAATGTTATTATACTAATAAATTATAACACTTTTAGTATTATTTTTAATATCCTTAACACAATTGGAAATCAGTTATGAAGTGAATTTTTATTTTTTTACTTTGTTTTTTATCCCTTTTTTTATTTTTTAGTAAATTTTTAAAAAGAATTACAATTAAAAATAAGAAAAAACACGAGGGTATTATTTTAGGTTTAATGCTCAATGTACAAATGTTCGAAAAGATACAAATAATCAAGGTAAATATGATAAAAATCCATTTTTAGTTAAAACAGGTAGTTTTTGAACAATTCATTGATTCAAAATATGAAATTTTTATTTAATTCAAACACCCCTAACTTATTGTATTCGAAACAAAAAAAAGATCCAAAAGAATTTGCAAAATTAATTAAAAAGAATAATAATATCATTACAAAAGAATGAACAATTTGTTGTTTAACCTTCATTCCAGCACAATTATCTTGCATTCCAATCAAAGCCACTTTATTTAAACAAATAAGTAATATGAAAAACTGATTTTTCATGAAAAAAATGAAGAATCATTATTTTTATTTAAAACTTCATATTTAGTTTCATTTCGAATAATTCATTTATTTTGCAGTTAAAAATAGATAGGATTCTTTCAATAAGATCTACATTATTATATTTAATAATACAAATCTTTAGTATACTTAAATTTAATAAAAATAAATAAAATAAGTAACTATAAATATACTATTAAAATATAAAAAATATAGTTTCAATTTCTCTTCAAAAGTTATATTAAAAAGAATTAAATATAACTCATTTTATTACTTCAATGAAAAAAATATGAACCTCTGCACCCAAAATTTCTTGTCCATATTAAATCGTTCCGTTTCGACGATTTGGTCGTACGAAAAGGACCCTTTTCTATTTGAATCTTTCTTCTCAATGCAGAACGTTTCATCACAGATAGAGAACAGTAAATCGTCGATATCGTCCGTTTCAAAGTAAAAGGCACTTTTATTTCCGTTTTTCCGGATATTGTACTTAACCAGATCCCCGTTTTGTTCCATAATAAAAATGAATGAGTCGTAATCGGGGATGTCGTCTCCGACTTGACGAATTGGTTTATATAACACACTGCCAAATTTGTGGTGGTTTTCGTCAGTTATGACAACACAAAGAGGGCCTTGATTTATTATCACATCCATCTCTCGTGTGCCAATATTCCAGTCTTGCGAGTTACTATCAAAGACTATTGGCCCGATTTTCTTCCCACTCACCCGTTCGATCCAATTTTGTTGCTGGAAGTCTAGCAGTGGATTTTCCATTAAAATGTGATTTGCACCCAAAACGGTTGGATGTGGGTATACGGTGATCTGCTCTTTTCTTTGGTTATTCATTTGGAGGATTTTTTCGTATTGTAATTTCTCGTATGAATAATAAGAAAGCTCATTTGTGATAGTTTGGTCGAGCGAACGAATGAAACACTGAAGATCTGTTAGTGTTTGTGAACACAATTGACTTTTAGTGACATTCTGTCCTAATTTCTGAAGGATCAAATCAACAAATTCAATGGTTTGTGTGGTGTAGTCGATGTTGTAATCAATTGGATTCCTCCCAGTCGTGTAATTTCGAACAGCAGAATTTGCTCGAGAAGTTAATAAAGTGAGTTGGTCGATGGACTGAAGCATTTGAGTGTTCATTTATTTTAATTCTTTTTATAGCTTTCAATATTTTTAAAAATTTTTAAAAAATTTTGATTTTGTCTTAAAGTGAGAAAGAGGACAAATGCAAAAAGAAGTTAAAAAAGAAAGTTAATTACCAGAATATAATCACCGAGATAACAACTTATTTATTTTCGTTTTGAAAGACAAAACAGACCAACATTGTAATATTATGTATGTTTGATGTATTTTTAAATAAGAATTGAATGATCTCATCATAGTAGACCAAAATTGTGAAATAAATAATAATAAAAAATATAAAAATAACTTACTCTTTTTATATTTTAACTGTTCTATATGGAATAAAAAATAAAAAGTCAGTTAAAAAACACACTTTGAGCTTATACAACACTCTTATCAATTTGTGACTTTTTTAATTAGTATTTATAATAAAATAATTATAGCTTTTAAAACAATTTATTTCAGTTGTTTTCTGGTCATATTTATTAGTTCCTAATAATCATTTTTTAATAACTGTTGTCATGATAATTTGGTCAATTAAAAATGTTGAAACATTAACACTGTTGACAAACTCATTTTAATTATTTTCTATTTACCAATAAGTTACAAATAGTTGTTATGAATTGTTAATATATCATATTATATAATATAATTTACTATTATTTACATATATATATCAATTAACTATATTTAATTATATTTGATTGTATTTTATTATATTATAATGTTTTTTAGTTTTATAATTTTTATATTTTTTTATTATACCCTAAAATCCCATAATTCATAATATACAAATATTATTGAGTAAATAACAATACATTAAATAATTAATAAGCAAGTAATCGAGTGTGACCAACTCAATTCGTCACCAGTATTAAATGCAAGAAGATTCATTTGGCTGAGCTCGTTTGAATAAGACTGACGCTCGTTGAAATAAAGAAGGCCCTGTCCTCTTGACGCCTTTGATCTGCCCGTCGGGCTAGAGGTCTTTGGCCGAAGCAACACGGCTATATTTTTAGACAAGAATTTATATATATTGATTGTGTTGTTGTTGAATAATGTAGTCCTCTGTGATTTAAAAATTGATTGAAATCATTCAAATTTTAGTGGTTTTATTCAATTTTAATTTGTAATATAAATTAAAAAGGAAAAATATGAGATAATTATTTCTAACATTTGTTATAATCACTAATAATACTTAGACCAAAAGTTTACTTAAATTAATAATTAATTTAACTTAATAAATTTGTTATTATTATTATTTAACGATTTTTATGAATTTTTACAATGTGGTTGACATTTTTTTTCTTAATAAAAAATGGCAATTTACATTTTTTATATTATTCTTTGTTTGAGTACATTATCATCCGATTTGATGTATTTTGTGTGTTTGTATGTATTTTTTAGTAAATTATAACTATTCTATTATTATTTCTAATATTAGAATTATACATTTATACTAATATTTTTGAATGGAATTTCCAAATATTTTACTTTAAAAACAGAAAAGTAAAAAATTCGTTTTTTTGAATTTATAATTTACCCCAAAAATATTTTTAAACGACAAACAAGGCTGTTAATTTTACGCGTTTAAAGTCTGTCTTAGCGGGAAAATAAAAAACATCCCTCTTTCGAAAAACAACAACATTCAAAACACGACTAATCAATTTGAGTTCCTCTGATATAAACATGAAAATATCTAAAAAGAAGTTTTTCGAGAATTGTTAGATTTTTCATTCACATTGATAATTGAAGAATAAGCTATAATTTATAATATAATTTTCTTATATTTCCGAGTCGTTAAGAAAAACAATTTGAAAGAGGAAAACCGCTTTCTATGCAAAACCATTTTCTATATAAAGTTTCGAAAACTTTAAAATTCATAATTCATGACTGACCCAGTATTGATCATCTTGGCTATTTTCTTCCCACCAATTGCACTTTGTGTGAAGTATGGTACATGCAATGGCGATGTCTGCCTTAACGTCTTCCTTTGTATGTTCTGCTGTGGATGGGGAGGAATCATTCACGCTCTTATCAAGGTATGTGAGGAATAGTCGAATACTTTATAGAACTTTCTTTATTTTTATGTTATTTTATTTCTTTAGAGAACACAAAATACAATCATTTTAATACATTAAGACATCAATTTTATAATAATTATTTATAAACACATAAAGTTAACATTGCCACTTTCAATTAAAACATGTATTATATTGTTGATATTATTAATAATTTCGTGAAATTATAATTTACAAATCTAACTTTAACCAAATTTCTTTTATTATTATTACACTAAGCAATTCAAATTGAAAAAATCAATTTGATGTTTTAATTGTAAATATATATTTTGTTTTTAATGTGGTTAACGACCGATTTATTGAAAATTGATAATTTTAGTTTCATTTGTATTGGTGTTTAACAATTTAAACATTATCATTTGAAATAAAACGTTATGTACTATGATCGTTTTGAATTTTTCAAAACTTTGTTATATGTTAGAATTATCATTATTCATTTTTCCCCTGATAATTTAAATGAAAAAGATTTTTACAAAGAGAACAGTTTAAATATTAAATGATTTAAATTGTTGAACTGGTAAGATATAAACATTTATTTAAAATAAATCAATATAAAATTTGAACAAAAGGATAAATACACAAGTTTAATACAATATACAAAAATACTAAAATAGTATAATTTCAATCATACAATTTTATATAATGTATTAAATTCAGACAATAACAATGAAATAATCAAACAAAAAATACCGTTGATTAACATTTTTATGACATTAATAATACTTAAGTACAGTAAAACCTCCCAAGAGCGGTACCTCCCAAGAGTGGGTTCTCTCAAGAGCGGGCATTTTTTAGACCGAAACTAAAAACAGAGTTCTCTATCGAGCGGTTTTTAAGGTTTGATTGGCTAAAAATGCCCGCTCTTGAGAGAACAAAATTCCCACGCCCTCCCGCTCTTGGGAGGTTTTACTGTAGTTATTCAATTAAAAATAGAAATCCAAAAGTTTGAAAATAATAATCGAAACTTAATTTATTAAAATTATCGTTTGGAAGATTAAAAATACATATGATATTATTTTGATTTAGAACCAATTAGTAAACAATGTCTTTTCTTCAAAGGAGTTCCCACTTTAGATATCAACAACAGAAATGTATCAGGAATTTTTTTCGGAATGCCAATAAATTATCGATTTAGCTTTTTACCTTTTTATGAATTTTTTTCAATTCTTTAAAAATAATATTTTGTTATTTTGCAAAAAGAACAACGTTAAAAACTGGCTCTAGTATTTATCACTTTCCTAATTAAAATCGTATTATTTTTTTTGTTGAAGATAATATAATAGGTATATTTTTGATAATTTTATACAACAAAAAAATAAGTTAATTAAATAATTGCATAATTGACAAATTTTGATTAATAATTAATAACTCATGTTTTTTCAAGGAAATTATTTTTATTAAATACCGTTAATTGTTGAATTATAAAAACATGTTAATTGTTTAATGTGAAAAATATTGAATATTGGATCAAATATCATTTATATCGGAATATTAATGCTTATTTAATATTTTGTATCAATTTCAATTATTTGTTTCAGTATTTTAATTACATATTATATTGATTACAAATATTAATTTAACATTAATAGGTTGTATCAAACTGAATTTTAATTCGTATAAATTATTCAAACAGTTTTAATAATTACTGAGTCTATTATTACCATTCGAAAATCGTTTTAGTATTTTTTGAATAAGTTCCAAATGTCTCTTTTCGAAGATTTAAAACATTTGAAAATGTTATAGCATAAATAATCATTCTCATATAATAATAGTTACTATTTTATTAGTTTTTTAGAACAAGAAAAGAAACTTTAAGTTGTGGCTATTTGTAAAAACACTGTTTAAAATTTAATAACAATTTAGTAAGATAAAATAGATTTTTTTGCGTACTTTTACCATCACAAAAAATGGATCTTTTGAAAGAGGGATGTTTAATTATAGTTTTTTCTGGTGTTTTTGTTAACAACACAAAAGTGCACAATTTAAAAAAAATAAATATTTTGTTACTATAATATATTATTACTTGTTAATTACAATAACTACAACAACTTTTTTGGGTTTTATTGTAAAAAAATAAGAAAAGAAAAAAACGAACCATCAAACATCACAGCCAAGTGTTTTGAAAAGACCCGCATTATCAGCTGAATGGGGTGGCATAATGAAATGGTAGTTAGACTAAATTAAGCTTAAAAAAAATGAATACTGTCCTAATAAACCCGAATATTGTAGTTAATTTGAAGTGTGAGACCGTCTTTTTTGTCCCCAATATAAAAACTGAAAATAACTATTTTTGTTCAAAAATGGATAATAAGTTCCACAAAACAATATCAGATTTCGGGATTATAACGATACTAAATGGTATTTCCTCTCCAATTCCATTGGCGAAAAAATGTAAGGAAGCGTTATTTTTGATTCAAATATATCGGATAAACAAATGTTAGTAGTGTATATATAATTACCGATAACACAACATCTTTGATTTGTTGATTAAAAAAGAAAAGATAAAACATTTTGTATATAAAAGAACATTTTAAACTCCAAAACACATTAAATGGCCGACGTTGGATTGATCATCTTAGCTCTTTTCTGCCCAGCAATTTCATTGTGCTGCAAATACAAAGAATGCAACGCTGATGTCTGTGTCTGTCTCCTCCTCGAAATGTTCTGCTGTGTATGGGGTGGTGTCATTTATGCTTTGGTGAAGTTAACACAAGACTAGTAAATCATTTCGGAATTGTTTTATTGTTTTGTTGAATAGATATATAAGAAAACCTTCGAGTAGTTATTATTACAATATTTCGAATTATTTTGATTAAAATTTTATCAAATTTTAGTTGTTAGACTGACTTTGTTAAAGTTTGTTGTTAAAAGTTGTCCCAGTCGCCAACGTTGTCCTTTTTATCAATTTACACACAAATAATTGTTTAAAACCCCGGG